TATCTCTTGAAGGCTCTTATAGTGGGCATGAACTATCTTGCTTGCTCGATTGCTGGTTGTATTAAACGGGACAACAAAGGGTGCTATGCCTACATTATGATGAATATTTAGTCCTATAGGTCTTGCTGTATTCAATGTCTCAATCCAATGGGCCTCCCTAGATTGACGGAATTTGGTAGTTTCATCTTCGGGCAAGTCAATTTCTATACGCTCAATTGGGATTAGGGTGAGATCGTCTATTGAATGGTCGTCGAGGTTGAAATGATTAGAAACAGGCTTGTCTTTCTTTAATTTGATGTCTGACATATGAGCATTTAAGCGAGTTCGTAAATTATTCTTAGTTTCTCCTACATATTGTTTGGGGCATTTCTTGCATGAAATTAAATATATTATATTCGAATGTTCACATGTTAGATGTTCCTGGATCGGGTACCTTTTATTCGTAGAGTTGCTTACAAAATAATGAGTTTCTGATATAAAGGGACATGTTTTGCATCTACTGGACAAACATGGAGCACTTCTTAAACCTGGAGGTACTTCGGCATAAAGTCTGTTTTTAGCTGCTATCTGTGCTAAGGTGGAATTTTTTATGTTTCGTAAAAATCGTTTAGAGTACCCACGCTCTTTCAGTTTTGAGAAAACAATCGTACAGGCTTGGTTGAAATCAGAAGATCTTGTACAAATTCGATGAAATCGTAAAACTTGTGACTTAATTATACCAGAAAAGGTATGTTTTGGGTGAAAGGAGCTCTTGTGCAAGAGTTGATGAGTATCAGTTTCTTTGAAATACACTTTAATATCCAGTTTATTTGTTTCTGCTATGGAATCTCCCTTAAAGACTGTGGTATCGAGAAAGTCTATGCTTTTGTCACTCACGTTTGCGGTTAGTTTGATAGAAGGATGGTGGTTGTTGAGAATTTCAAAGAATTCTCAAAACTGTTCGATAGAATAAGTCCAAACCATAAAAATGTCATCCAAAAAGCGTCCGTAAAAAAGTGGGTCAAATGGACAGAGGGGCAACACCTCACGTTCCCACTCTGCCATGAAAAGGTTTGCGTACGTTTGCCCATTGCTGTCCCTGAAGTTTGTAAATATTT